ATCCTAGTTTGACATGGTAATACACAGGGATATATATGGCAGGAAATACATTAACATCTTACCTCTTCTTCCTGAGTCTCTTCGTCTGGTGAGGGGCTGATGAGCGTATTTTTGCCCGAGTTTGAGGCCGAGGTCCTGGGGGGGAAATCATCCTCCAGGTCTTCGGGCTGGGCTAAAGGAGGGCTCTTCGTTTGCCATACAATGGGGACATCTTCCACACCACTCAAGCCTTTAGATAGCCGGACAAAGTCGAGACAGAAAGATTCAATGACAGGGGTTGGATAACATCAAGCTGCATGTCAGTGAAAGACACATAGGCTGAAGGGAGAAGGAGATGAATGTGGAGGACTGGTAAAGACTAAAAACACACTTTTCTAAGGAATACATTTGATTGTCATAATCTTGTTTGCATGAGAGACTGATTATTATTTCATAGAAGTTTACAAGGCAAGATAAATGGCCTTTAGGTGGTCTAACTGAAGATCTTTCCAGCTCTCTGTGCTGGGCTAAATACTGTTATCCACCCCGGTGTTCCCATCTAGGTCAAGCGCAAAAATGGCCTTGTTCTGAAAATCACAAAGGACTTGAAAAAAGGGACACAAGAAAAAAAAGATAGGACAGTTTTTTCACTTTATATTCTCAGCCATTTTTGAGGTTTCTGTGAGAGTCTTTACTTTACATGTAAAACACGTTTCCTTTAAAAAGGCAGGATTCCTTCCTTCCTGTCAGTTTAAAAAAAACTGCAGTGTAAGCAAGTGTGCTGAGCCACAAACTGACAGAAAAGTAGCTCGTCTTGGCGGCCTTATTTCTGTTTTATTGTTGATTTATCTGATTTATTGATTTATTGTTGGCACTGTAAAATGTAAGAACTGAAGTCCGAGGTGACGTCTTCAAATGTCTAATTGTGTCCGACCTACAGTCCAACATATTAAGTTTAAATGAAACCTTTGAAGATCCGATTTTTCTTCAGTTTTCTACTTTCAGCCGTTTTCAGAGCTCTAAATAGAATTCTACGAAATGTAAGCTGAAAAAATTCGGTTTTGCATTTAGTTTTTCAGCGTCCTGTTTGATCTACTTCTGAGATCCTCATTTTTTAAAACCTCCTTTCTATATTCAAGCCTAGAAATAAACCCTGGTGTCAGACTAAGATGACACTCCCTGAAGTAAATAAGAAAGGGGCAAACCCTTGGTTGTACGTCACCTGACTGGTAGGACAACAAGTATCAAGCATTGCTCATTCAAATATTTCAAATGATTAGCCATTCATGTGTACCAAGTTTCCCACCAGATTATGTCTCACCACAATCAAATAAGGTTTCGGCAAACCAACATGACCCACCCCTTCCAGGAGTACCATCCTGGCCCTGATCTACGTGATGTACACTGAGCGGTTCATTGTTTCGGTTCCAAAAGCTCAAGCTGACATTTTAAACTAGCATTCAAAAAGATACTCCAAACAACCAAAGATATTGAAATCAAACATGACACAAGACAAACAACTGAAGCACTTATGCCTCTGAAGACAGAGCTCTATGCCCTGAGCCAGGTTCTTTTTTGTTTGTTTTTCATGCAGTTTAATTGGGAGAACAATAAAACGTGTGCCTTGTGCACATGGAGAGCACATTTGGAGGGTTTGTGCTGGAGAATCAAGTTGATCACAAATTGGACCTCTGTGCAGGGCCCCAGGCGGTAGGTCCTAGTAGTGAGCCAGAGATCACACCTCTCTTCATTACAAAATAGCTATTGAGCATTCTCTCATAAGCATTTCCAATGACAACAAATAGTCCTCTATCATAAAAATGGACGCTCTATCTGCCGGCCAAAGCCAAGAAACAAGTGACCTGGGGGTGAAAAACAAAAGCAATTCAGATCATGAAGAAACAAAAAATAAAACTAAATATTGAGAGCAAACAAATAAAATATGTAAAAAGAAGGTGTTGTTTTGCTTTCATACCACAAAAAAGATTCTACATCTTAGTTGTTGTTACACTTTGTGCTTCTTATATGTGGTAGGAGGGCAGTAACAGTACGTGACATCATTGTTCAAACAACTATAAGTGGAGCATTTACAGATCAAACTGGAAGTGCAACAAACTCCCAAAGCGCAGCAGCAACGCTTTCAGCACGGAGCAGTTACAGTAATCTGCTCTGCACACAAATTAGCCCAGGAGATTTCATCAGCGTGGAGCAGTGCAGGTTCCCATGTAGTCCAGAGCAGCACTCAGCAGCATGAAGAGGCTCACACTGCTCTCCCGCACAAAGACGCTATTCTGCTGGGACTGCTAGGAGTCTGTGCTGCAGCAGAAATGTGTGCGAGAGACGAAACACAATAAGCATGCAGGGAAGCATTACCAGCCAGGGAAAACCCATTATCTGTGCTGATCACTGGTGCACTCACACTTCATGGTAAAGTGGCTAATGCACTGTCCCGCTCCTCAGCTCACAGAGAAGAGGGCAGAACTAAATTAGCCACATTGCTTCTTATTTTATGGAGACACTGAGCAGATGTTAAATGGCCTACATGTTTGTCTGCATAGCACACACTCCAACAAAAAAGTTGTCAAGGACGGTATGAGTTTGTAAAGTACGCAAAGCATTAGCCATAAACACATAAGTGGGGGGGTCTATCTTTAAATATGCATGGCAAGAATAGAGTATGTCTACGCAAGCTAGCCTACATCTTGGCACTGCGTCCCAAACCAGCACTCTCTTCCCTGGACTCCTGAACTATATCTGAGGCAGACTTTGATAAGGGCATGGTCTACTTAACTTAACCAGCCGTCTAAATATGGGACTTTTAATACTTTAGTAACTAGGCAATTTTGTTGGTGTAGGAATGAATACCTTTAGAAACATTTGAGAGTGAAGGAAAATGCCCAACTTCAAGTTTGTCAGTGACAAATACTCTGCACGCAAGATTATGTAAAGTATTTGCTGATGTTGTTTGTCCTGACATTTCACATTTGGATCGTGAGAGTGAACACTGGCACTGTTTAGAAAGCAGGGCAAATTCATGCCAAATCCTTTCTCTCTACTGTTGCCACACTGATTATTAGTACCAGTGCTTCTAATGCAGACTTGTAACACCATCTTGTGACATTAAGGCTATGCATTTCAGATCATTTGAAGAAGAAACAACAAAGAATGTATGATATTATCAAGACAACAAGACTGCAGGGACTTAGTTCATGAAATGTGGATGAGGAATCCACTGTAGCCTATTAAGATGCGGGTACATTGACTTCTCCTCACACCAGCAGCAATAGACAACCTGACACGGCCTGCTTGGACAAGAGTCAAAGAGGGCAAATGTTCAATTGCAGCAAGCAGACCAATCAGGAGTATGCAAGGACAAAGTGCAGATTAAGAGCAGCAGGAGTTAGTGAATGTTGTTGCCATGGAGTCAGCTGGCCAATATGAAAGCACACATAAGGGCTATCATGATAAAAGACTCCTGGTCATACCTCAGTGATGAGCCTTGGAGAACGACGATTTGTTGTTTGCCTACCCGTCTTTACAAGGTTTAGAGAGAGGTTACAATAACTGTTGGTGTGCTGGGGTTTGCTTTAACCATTTTGATTATGTTGTCATTTTAGATTAGGAAAAGGATATCAGCTTGTTTTCTCCTCTTTTGAGATGGCAATAGTGATCATAACAAATTATTTTTCAGATCAGTCATTTAGTTTCTAGTTGCATAAAACGTAAGTAGTTTAAGCAAATTACTTAGTTTATCCAACCAACAATACAAAATACAAAGCTGTTCAAAGTGAAAAACTATTTGAAATGTTAACTTGTGTCAACATTAATGATTGATTATGAAGGCATCCTATCCAGTAATCCAACTATACATTTCCTCTAGGCTGCCAAGAAGCCATGTATCTCGAGCCTACTGCTTTCAATGCAAGGTACAGGTCAAACAGATAGGGAAATTAACGTTTTTTTACCAATACTAAATGTTCATTTTGTGGTTAATGAATAAAAACCGTTGATCCTGATATTTAAAAAAAAAAAGGAATCCTTAACATTGTAGATTCTTAAGAACTCTACCAAGAGAAATAGTTAAGACATCTACTTCTACTAAAGTGATGTAGTCCACATTTGTGAACAACTTATCTACAAGATGACATATTCATCATCACTTTATCTACAAGTTGTTTTCAGAGGACAGAGTTAGCCTCGCAACTACGTAGATAAGTCTGCTGGCATACTGAACAGACTAATAATAGGGCTTTTAAAAATACACATGTCTTTAGTGGGATGAAAAGATTAAAGTCTGTGTGTTGTTTGTAGTTAGTAAGGCAGAAACCCCTGTTGCACAAAGCGGGCTATTTCAAAGTTTAGAAACGATGAAGCCAAATCATGGTGAGTGAGCATCTACATGTAGGTTTACAGACAAGAAACAACAGATCAGCTGGTCCTCTGCGGGCCAGGTGAAAGTGACGGGCCGGACAAACGAGACGACAGGTGTCACGGATAATGTTATATCCGGGTCAAAATCTATTTCATACACAGTTGGTGGAAAAGGTACTCAAATCTTGATTTCAAATGCAAGTAAAAGTCCTGCATTAAAAGATTGGCGCATTTCAGAATAATATATATTGTGTTTTTATTATAAATATTGATGTATTAAAGTGTTATCAAAGCTGGTAAAGATAGTTTAAAATACTTTGTATGCTGCAGGGTAGCTTGTGATTTTACTCCAGGTAAAGTTTTATTTAAGTGTGTAACTAAAAGGTATTAAATACATGCAGTGGTGTAAAAGTACAATATTTACCTCCAAATTGTAGTGGGGTGGAAGAACAACATAGCGAAACGTTTAATTACCTAAGTCAAGAACAAGTCCCTCGAAATTGCACTTAAATACATTACTTGAGTGAATATACTTTACACCACAGCACAGCACCTTTTCAGCTTAAGTTACACAGGAGAAAAGCTGTTTTGACAGCGCCAAACACACTAACAACACATAACTTATTTAAGCTAGTAGTCACATAGTTTGGACTGTTTTAACACCATGTGTCTGTTAGAGGAGACACATTCTGACACGGGGCACCATATTTTTCACAACACCTCTCAAACTGAAAACAGCAGCTAACGGAAAAGCGAGTTTGCCACTCTCAAAGACAAAGACGAAAGGAGAAAAAACACTTTAAATGTTAATCCCAAGCTTCTTAACTTCAGCCTGCTTAATCGATTCACTGTCATACATCTACTTGACGAAATCAACAAGGGTTTACCTTCGTCAACGACTCGGCTTTTGCAGTTGGGCTCGAAGTGATTTCTGCTCCTCAACCCTCTCATCTCCGCCATCTTGGACTGCTCAAATCTAACGTGTGTGACGTCAGATGAGCTTTTTCTTCTTCACGCTTCTGTCTGCTGAAGTTGAAACCTCCACGAGGCTGCTGCTGCTGGGTGAAGACACAGCAGCAGATTGTAAACTATGTTCAAATTCACAGAAACCAAAACAACATGTGTTTTTAAGGCTTTTAAAAGGGTAGCACATGTTAACCTTTACTTCATATTCTGTTCTTGTACATATCCTATATTCTATTGACATGTATACTTTTTGCACTACTTTCTATTTTTGTGTTTTATTGTATGTTGCATTGTTGGAGGAGCTCAGGTCAGAATAATTTCATTGCCATTTCTACACGGTCGCTTTGTGCATATGACAATAAAACCTTTGAATTTGAATTTGGTTCAATTGGATTATTGTGATCGAAACAATGAAGTATGGGACTATAGGTCATGTTTCCTTATTTAGTTTGTGAAAACAAATGAATAAACACATTCTTATGCAGACATTTATGACTCCCTCAGTATGTGTTCTTTCACTGGGTTTGTTGCCAGAATCCATTTGTATCTGAGAAGTCATTTCTTAAAACCCATGAAGGCTATATTTATTTATTTGTTCATTCATTTATTTAATTAATTATTGTATCCGTGTTTCTATTTATTTCCTATTTTACCAGCTTATTTTTCTTCAATGTTGTAGGCTATAGCTCAGACAGGCATAATAGTTTGTTGCTATTATTATTACTTACTCAAATGACTACTATTACTATTAATACATTTTTATTGTCAAATACTTTGGTTTATAATATTCTAATACCTGCCAAACTGATTACATGTTCATTAACCTTAGCTTGAGGCTGCTTTTATGTTTAGTGATGTTAGCTGTGCAATCTATGATGTGCAACATGCTAAACTGCAATGGTCAACATGGTGAACATTAAAAACATAAAAATGTTAGCATTGGCCTTTTGAGAATATAAGCATGTTAGCTTTGAACTCAAAGCACCGTGGATCTTAGCAGTGCAGCTATCTTGTCTAGTTTGTTTAAATGTGATAATATTCATTCACTTATCCACTCAGTCCTTGTTACAACACCAACCTCCTGTGGTCACCAGCAGGCCTGATAATGTACACATTGAACCACGCTCCTCTGTGTAGCTCGGTGAAGGTTCACTTTCACAGACGGACTGTCTTCAGTAGAGATAAGGCTTATCTACAGTGAGATATCTGTGATGAAGGGCAGATATTGCTCTCCTCTCAATAACTTGATGGTGTTTAGCTGCTGTCAGGGATGACTGCTAAGCAAAACGTCGTTAAAGCTCTTTATCTTTGTGGGTAAACTGACTTCATGTATTTACACAGCCATTCACATCCCCAAATCTGCTTGGAGGTGTGGGACCAGGCCGACAGAGAGGCTCCCCTGGCCGAAGCAGATGGGAGCTACGTGGAGTGAGTCCCTTTTTCAGAACTACACTTTGTTGTTATTGTGAATCGGCATATTTCATTGTTGAGCATGTGGTACAAAATAAATGTTCACAACACCTGCTAAATTGATTATGTTGTGAGTGCAGTTTGGTCAAGGATTCATTTGCTCCTTAAGTCATTGTTGGTGTGTTTTGTTCAGCTGCCCTCTTTGCATTGGCATTTAGCTAATCTAAAAACGACCTGACAAAGCTGCTGTTTGGTGAAAGTAATCAAAGACTGTTGTAATTTACCAACTCCAAACTCTAACTGATATGACCTCGACACACACAACAACACGGTCGATATATATTTACATATGAACACATTCATAGGGCACCTTATCACATTTAGTTGGCTAACTGGGATTGGGTGTCTGACGACTGCTGGATCAACACTCCCTCTCTCTGAGGGACAACCCCACATTTCCTGGAGATCCTGCTCCATCCAGGGATCAGATCTGACATTTAGGAGTCACCGAACAACCCTCCATGTTTCCTGTACTTCTTCACATTTCAAAGTCATAGATTAAACATCCTAAACCAGATCACATCTTTGCCTGTTGGGACTTGTTGGGCTGTGTTGCCTCCCATCTTCCATTATGCTAAATAAGTTCAATAGCCAAACACACAAAAGGTCAAGACACACACAGAAAAGAAGGTTAATGTAAGAGCAACAGATGGAAAGTAATTGGTATCAGAAAGAGCGAGAGGAAAGAGAGACCTGCTGTGCTAATCTGTGTCACTGCTCTTCTATTCTTAGAAGGTCCCATCGGCCAGCAGAAATATGAGAAACACGTGATGACACAAGTCCTGATACATTTAGAGAGAGGGTCAGCAAACAGTGACAGAGCCCCCAGACGAGCAATAAACTCCAGATGTGTGGACGGTATGTGTGCCTGGATGGTATGGAGCTTTTCTAGGAGTGCAGCGTCATACAAGACATTTTCTTGAGGAATTATTAATAATTATTCCCATGCATAGGCTATGTACTTTTAAATGATTCCCCCTCCCATTGAAACTCATGTCATATTTGAAAACCAGATCCTTAGGGTCATGTTGCAGTCAGTTGAGAGAGGCTTTACTACATCTATTTAAGCTCATGTGAGAGACTGAGTAGATGTCTCCCTCTAGTGTCTGCAACGTAAAATACAAGATGTTTGGACCCATATCACAAGCTGCATACAAGTCTTTAAGAACAAGTTACAGCTTTCCTGGATTTATTTAATAATAATAATAATAATAGATCAATTTTGTTAGCACTTCTACAGGTGCTCAAAGTCGCTTTACAAAGATAGTGAAAAGAAAAGAACAACAAATACGTATAGTTAAAGTCAAATTAGAATCAAGCAATACAAAAACAATCACACATTAAAAGCCAGATTGAAGAGGTGAGCTTTTGTACGTTTTTTGAAGGTGGTGAGGTCAGTGCAGTGAAGAGGCCCTATTATGATTTTGGGGATTTTCCCTCTCCTGTAGTGTGTTAAATAGGTTTGTGTGCATATAAATGGTCTGCAAATATTGAAATCCAAAAGTTCCCGCAAGAGGGAGTTTCTCTTCCACCCACTCCTCAACTCACAAATGTATATTGTGTTTGGTTACAGAATGACTCAGTTATTTGAATGTCAACATGTTATAATGTTCTATGAACAGAACTCAGATGCAGACAGGACATTTCTCCCTCATTCAGTCGACTCAGCAAGGAGTGAGCAGCAACTGATAAGAGATTAAAGATACAAAGATCAACTATGGAAAATTATTTCAAAACAAGTAAGGCATTTTAGAAATCTGTTATAGATCAGTAAGGCTAACTGTTGTGTAAAATATCACAGGATGCCTGTAGCTTATGTCAAATAGCTGCCTTTTTAATTGTAGGAACTATATATGTGTATAACCAAACCAACATATGGTTATTTGTGTGATGTAATATGTTTTACGGGTACTTAAATAATGTATATTACAGAAAGCATGTCTGATTTTGTCATAATCTAATACTGCTTCCAGATCCTAAATTAAATGGTATTGTAAAATATAGTATAATTTTAAGGTATACTTTACTTTCCATACAATTGAATTTCTTACTTCGTACACAGTGCAATTACATTTTGGAGCAATTAAGTGATTTTTAGCATTACATAACAGTTTCACCAAAGTAACGATTCACCATACCTCTTTCATCACTGCTTCAAATATTAACAGCAAGCTGGGAGCACATTTTAGCAAAATAAGGCACAATGAAAAAATCCATAAAAATTACATTTTGATTGTTGTTGTGTGAGCTTTCCTTTCTCTCCTGTCTTTCAGCGTTGATGCAAAAAGTCCCTTGCCTTGATGCGTTGAAGAGTTATGATGGACATGCTGCACGTAATTTAAAAAAAGTCCTCGGGGAAAAGCCATATCTTTATTATCCAGCCAGCAACTTCTCTGACCTGGGCTGTATCTCATCTGAATCTGGTCCCTCCAAATCTACACCAGGACCAGTAGGCCTCCACATGTGGGAGCAAGACAGCAGGGCCGATGCCTTTCATCCAAGAAAGGAAGAACATTCTCCTCTAGTGAATCAGTCATGTGACCTGAGAGATGTTGAGGCTCCTTATTCCTGCTGGATATTGAGGACTCTGCAGAAATTCACTTTCGGATCCATCTACGGCTATGAGAATATCAATCGGAAATACCTCTACGCTCCCCCTTCTGACATATCTGGATTTGTGGATGAGGTCTTCACACAAAGCATCTAGGCCGAATCAGTGCTTGCAGCAAAAGTAGTCAATAAACCACCAATATAAATTACACAAAGCCATGAACCCATTTGAATAAAATGTAGCGGCATACTTTATTTGGTCATCATTTGGACACTTTTACACATTCATAAAAAAATACAGAAAAAACCCCAAATGTTTTACAATCAATTACTTTTGGTTGGTTTTACAGTAGCTAATATAACTCTCTTAGTTTGTTGGGGAATAATCTGCTTAGGTATTCAACCTTTGACACAGTTAATAATTTTCTCTTTTCACTGTCTCCTTTCCCATGGCATAAGTCTACGGCCTTGGGTATTGCTGCTATCTCTCTCAAGGAGGGGCAGCTTGGGCGCATTGTTGTTGCCAGCTTATGACCGAGCCCAAGCTGACATGAGATAGTTCATTGTTCAGGATCTCCAGGAAATGTGGGGTTATCCCTCAGAGAGAGGGAGTGTTGATGCAGCAGTCGTCAGACACCCAATCCCAGTTAGCCAACTAAATGTG